CCTTTCGACTTTTGATTCTTGTTGTTAAGCTACACAATGGGCTATCTGTGCTCTGTCTACCATGGATATCGAACCGTGATTTTTAGCGTCTTAAGCCTTTTTATCTAAGAAAGCATGATTATTCTATTAACGCTTAAATTACCGATTTGTTTTTATACTGTTGACTACCAGTGGGGTCCACATAGTATATCATGTTAAGTAATGTTATGGATTTTTACCTGTTACACGACCCGATGTGAAGGTGTGACTGAAAAAAGAGGATGAAATCAAATATGTTTAAAAATCTTAAAAAATCCAGTATTGACCTCGTCCGTCGCTCTAGGGTTAACAAAGGCTATTTTATTGGCATATAAAAATCGTTTGTTTAGGTATATTTTTTATATGTATTTGAGGCTTTTCTCACATAATTAAAGCAGTAAGCATAGCAGAAATTATCTTGGAATAAAATAGTTTATATTTTCTACAATAATAGAACTTTCCGATAAGAATGAATTACAATCGTGAGGTTGGACTGATGGCGCCCACTAACCTGTCTCAAAATGGCGTAGAAAACATCCAGGTGAGAGTTTAGGTCAACTCCATCTGGTCCGGTGAGCTGACCCTCGTCAGCGTAGCGTTGTTCATCAAACACGTCCAGCTGCTCAGAAAGGTCCGTCTCTCGTCCGTTTTTTGAGCATTCTCTCCTACGAAAGTCAGTTTTAATCAATATATTATGAACAATAGATAGAGAGCAGAGCATACACTGAACATCGGGTTTTATACTTAAATAACCTCGGTGGTTTTTCCAAGCCGATACAGTTAATGAACAAAAAAGTTTTCGACTCTATTGGTTCCAAGACACGCATGTTTCAACACATAATAATGAGAACCAGGTGATTACAGCATGTTTCAACACATAATAATGGAAACCAGGCGATTACAGCAGTAACTAAAAGGGCACTCAGTAGACTGTATACCTCTGCCATGCAGCGTTGATCATATTCGGTTCTCAAAAAATACGAAAATGTGTCTTTATGTCTGTCGTTATCAACGGACACGAACCATTTTTGGCAGGACAATGGGGAATAATATTCTATACATGTCCACCAAGTTTCATCAAAATCCGATCATTTTTGACTGAGTTAAAGGACTGAGTGAAATTCGGGCCCCGTGTTAACAGATGTGGATTTTTTTGTATTTTCGTGACCTTGACCTTGACTCTTCAAAAATTAATCACTTCTAAGTTGGGTCATAGTCCAAATACATTTCAGCCACTGTCAAGAAATCTTGCTAACAAACAAACAAATAAACACACAGGGGTGCCAGAGGTAATGATAACATTTATTTAACGAACCAACGTTCACCCTCTGGATCAACCAGTAAATGTTTATTCTCGGCAGTAGTAATGTTAGGAACCAACGTTCACCCTCTGGATCAACCAGTAAATGTTTATTCTCGGCAGTAGTAATGTTGGGAACCAACGTTCACCCTCTGGATCAACCAGTAAATGCTTATTCTCGGCAGTAGTAATGTTGGGAACCAACGTTCACCCTCTGGATCAACCAGT